GTTAAGAAAAACATGAGTTTGGTGGGATTCCCGACCTCAAAATACCCCAAAATGAAGAAAAGGTCCGGAATAGTCCAAAATCCGGAGCTAAAAGGTGAAATCCGGAGCCCTTATCCGAATTCTGAAGCTCTTCTTAGCATTCCGGAGCTATATCCCAAATTTCGGAGGGAAGGATTAAGGCTGCGAGGGTCCGAAGTGGTTGGCAGGGAGTTCCGGAGCAAATAGTGAAGTTCCGAAGCAAACAGGAACTTCCGGAAGGCTTTTCTCGGATTCCGAAGTCAGGAGCGGGTCAGCGGTCCGGACAGACCAGGTGCTTCCGAACCGAAGTGGGGTAAGAACTTCCGGAGCTGCGAACCTATCCGGATGAGAGGTTTCCGAGATGAGCTTCCTCTTGGCTTCCTTAGAAAACATTCTGGACTAAGAGGTTCCGGACCAGGAGGGTTCCAGACCAAGAGGGTTCCGGACCAAGAGGGTTCCGGACCAGGAGGGTTCCGGACCAAGAGGGTCCTTTTTGGGTTTCCTCTTCCGGTTTTGAGCTGTTTTCGACTAAGGAAGGTGCTTAGGGAGATTTGGGAGAGATTCCACATACTTGGAGAGATTTGGGAGAGGTTTCATATTCTTGGAGAGATTTCACATACTTGGAGAGATTTCACATGTGGGAGAGATTTCTCATACTTGGAGAGATTTGGGAGAGATTTCACATACTTGGAGAGAATTGGGAGAGATTTCTCATACTTGGAGAGATTTGGAAGAGATTTCACATGCTTGGAGAGATTTGGAAGAGATTTCACATACTTGAAGAGATTTGGGAGAGATTTCATATACTTGGAGAGTTTTCATTCTAACACTTCATGGCTCATTAGGAACTCATATTGTACACTTAGAAGTGTTAGCACAAGTCTCACAATAGTACTTGCTTACTTGAGGACGGAATTTCCTAGCCAAAAAGGCTAGTTGTGACAAAGTCTTTCTTTAAATGTGTATAGTTATCCATGTAATGTATTCTTTCTAGAAGAACCACTTACTCCTTCTAGCCTTGCTATAGAGAGGAAGTTCAATCAAGACCATACTTGATTATCATACATGGATTACATCTCATGTTCATGACTCTAAGTCATTAATCAGAATCAAGATCTGACATAACATCTTGGCATTTGATGGATTTGTTAGAAACCATCAAGAAAAGCTCCTTAATGAGAGATTTCACATTTCTCAAGTCATAAATGATTTCTACCACTAAAGCGAACAATTTGTGTTTGTGAATAGCTATTATTCATGGGATCTTGATGTTTTGCCCAAATTGCTAATTTAAAAAGCAAGGGGCAAAATAGTCATTTTCGAAAGTCGGATTGAGGAAAAAAAACTGCACCACGAGTAAAAAATTATACACATTTAGTTTATGGTATACTTTAATTTATAATGCAATATAGTATCTTACTTTCATTCATTTTCATTACAATTGTGTGTAATGTATGTGGCTATGTGTATGTATATCCGGGCACAATACATATACACAAACTACATTCCTATTTCTTGAAAAAAAAAAGTTAAACATTTTCCTAAATTCCAAGATGTATAATCACTGAAACTTATAAAATGATCAATGGTGCTCAGTTATAACAATGTACTTTGAAAGTACATTGCTCTAATTGGGATGTTTATTGCTTCTCCATGTAACATGCATTCAATGTTTTTTTAGGGCGAATTGCAAAATCAAAAACTACATTGCTATTTCTTGCAATGAACTTTAGGTTTTACGTTTAACCCCAAAAAATCAATGAATATATGTTGCTTTCTTATAAAAAGAAACAACAACACGCATATTGGTCCATGTGGAAAAAGAAATTAGCTATATTACATAATTGGTCCCTATAATAAGCTAAATAGAGAAATAGTTCATTCATTTTAGTATATAAAACATTTATGCCACTTGAATTAATACAAACACACACAACACACACAAAAAATAAAATTATAAAACAAATGTGAATGGTCCTTGAATGAAACCGATGTGATAGAAATTGTCCATAACCATAAATAAGCATGTTTCTTAACAATTGAAACCGAGAAAAAGAAAATCATATAATGGCATCCCAGTTATATCAAAGTACTTTTAAAGTTCATTGTTATAATCGGTAAAACATTCATATGTTTGTATTAAAAAAGACAAAAAAGCAAAATTATAAGCAAAAGTACGATGCCAATAAAACACACAGAGAGCAACACACATAGATCGACATACTTGTTTCTAGGATGCTATATCAAAATTGTAAAAGAAAGAGAAGAAGATAGAAATAAACAAAATAAAAGAAAGTATGGAAAAATTATTTTGTTTTACACTAACCTGATGGATTGAAATTTATGAATGAAGATGGTAGTTTGTAGAGATGAAGAAGCAGAAAGATGCCAAACATATAAAAAAAATTTAGGGGTTCGGTATTTATAAATGCAATGAATAAGCAAAGATAATTATGTAATCATGATTTAATTCCTAATATGATGGCTATATATTTGGTAAAAGATCAATTAATTCAAAAACATTGATGATTATATGAGATATGAGGATATATGAAATTCAAAATTCAAAATGTGTTTAAATGCAGGGACAATATGGTAATCAAATTGTTGATTTGTGGGAGATGATGTCGATTCCTGAAGTAAGCAATGGACGGGAAAAGAATTGAGAATAGAGCTACAGGATTGACACGTGGATTGATGGGGGTCTAAGAGGGGGGACACGTGTCGGTTTAGGAGTCTTTTATTAGGAGCTATATTAGAGATTAGAGATTCATTTAACGGTTGTAATTTATAGGATCTCTCGTTTTGTAAACACTCCAATCTATTATTTAACCTCAATTATTATTTTTCCATCCAATAACCGAGTACAAATGTTACCAACGAAGGGATAGACAAACAATTTACAAATTCTGTATTGTTCTTCTCAATGTTTTAAAACCCGGTTTTTTAGTTGAACCGGTATGGTGACCAGTTTCCAGTTTAACCGGTTCGACCGCCGGAGGAACCGGTTACTATAAATTTCATATTTTTTCCTATTTTCCTACACATACATACATACATAAATCAAGAATTTGACGTCCATAAGTTTAAACATTAAAAATACACATTAAACAACTTGTAAATCAATCTAAATACATTAAAAAAACACATAACCATAATTTTTACATCAATCCATGTGTTTTTATTCAATTTAATCGGTTCAATTTTAACTGGTTCAACGGGCTTTTGTAAAAACCGACCGGTTCATTCCGATTCAGAAATAGACATAAAATCAGTGTTAGTTAAATCGCTCAATTCCTTGGTTCCCGGTCCAACCGGCCGGTTCAAACCGGTTTTTAAAATATTGGTTCTGCTTTTGTACATCCATAATCTTTTCAGGCCTTGAATTATTAGTTAAACTATAAATTGATAAATTGAAGATCTTTCTTTTTTATATTATATGATAAAAATTAATCTTGGACACTCCGTTTTTTTTTTTTTTTTTTTTGTAATCTGACTTACATTTATTTGTTATTTTATTAATAACATTATCTCGTTATTGTTATTTACAAAAAGGACTACTATAAATCTTTAGGCTTCATTATTACACTCATAGTTGTGACTTGTGATAGTTAAATCATTTTATTAACATATAAGTATCTGAATGAGATTATTGTTGTCACATGGAAATCATTCATAAAATATAATAGAAAGTAATATTTAAATATATCTTTTGTATGTATTTTGTCTTGAGGACACAAAAAAGTTGAGCATGGGAAACACCAACTAGTATACACCAAACACAAAAGTATTAAAGACAAGACAAGTATTTTCATAACCTTTTAAACATCAAAAACAATTATTTATTTCTTAGCTATTTTAATCAATACTACGACTTCAAATCCAAAATGTGCATTTTTATTGATTAGATTATATTTAAATAACTATAAACAATCAAAAGATGTAGATACATAATATATTTTGATATCTAACACAAAATGACAAAAAAAATAATAAGAAAATAAATTGTTTTATGTAAAATATTTTTCTAAAATAAGAAATAATTTTGAAGCATTATCTTTGTGTGAAAGTGAAGATGGTGAGGTTGTCAAGTGGTGATAAGGTGTTTTTTTGTTCTCCCAGTTCTATTAATGACATTAATGTTCTTAATCGTTCATTTATATTTAACAACATAATTGACGGTTCTGCATCAGATTCGTCTTTTCAAGTGCATGAAACGTCATATAAGTATAGTTATTACCTTGTTGATGGAATCTATCATGACTATGCTTTGTTTGTCAAATCATTTACGTGTCCACATGATTTTAGACGAAAAAAATTCAAGAAAGCTCAAGAAAGAGCTAGGAAGGATGTCGAGCGGGCATTTGAAGCTCTTAAGAAATGTTGGCACATATCGAAGAAACCAACACTTTTTTTTTGGTGAGGGAAAGGCGATATGTGCACATGACAAGCATGAAACCATCCCCAAGACGCAACCAACATAAATTGGTAGCGATGAGTACATGGATAGGAGAGTAAATAAACATAGCACTCAAACATTTCACAATCTTCGCATGAACTTTAGTGAAACACATTTACAGGATTAACACATTAATCTTAATTTGGATCCTCGGGATAACTTAGAAGACATAGTTCTCGGGTGAAGATTTCATGTAATATGTTTTTAGTTATTTTAGTTGTGTTTTTTTTTTTAAGTTTTTTGTATTTTTTATTTTTTAAGTTATTTTATTTGTGTTTTTTTAAGTTTCTTTTGTTTTGCATTTTTTTAAGCTATTTTAGTTTAAGTATGAATTTTCCTTATTTGAATTAATGAAATTTGGTGTTTTTGCACCACATCTAGTGTGTGGCAAAGAAACCACACTTTTATGGTAAGAATGACATGACAAAGTCGTGACATGGCAAAAAGTGTGGTTTCAGTAGCACCACTGCTTCGAGCCTACAAAGATGCATTTATTAGCATAGGGAAAAGTAGAAAGAAATGTGATATATTGGTTGTAAAAGGTGCAAACATGTGTATGTTAAAGGTGTGGTGTATCCCTTTACAATCCAAAACATAACATACACCTGTACATCATTCAGGATCCAATCCAAAACATGACTTCATTGAGAATTGTTCACAAAAACAAAAACTAACCACCTGTAATGTAACAACCGCTTTCTCTTACTGTAAATTTCAGTATCTATACACCTAAGGTCATGTAAAAAAAAGAATAGCCTTCACCTGCATTCCCCAAAAGAAAATTAAAAATAAATACCATAGGACAGGGACCAAATTTGTAATTTACACTTGTATTTATATATTTACCAACAGGTCCCTAAAGAATGTTGTGTGTACCTGAGGGGACAGAACTAGTGCAAGGGGGGTTGTGACAATGAGACATTTGGTGTTGATGCTTCTAGACCTTTTCCTCCATTAATAGCAGATTGTAGCACGTTGTATTGCTCACACACTGAATCATAAACTGCCTGTGAATAAACTACCTTCGCCTGCAATGCATTTGACTCGTAATTAAATAAAAAGTTTGTGAAATAAATAAAAATGTAAAATCAAGCAACAAAAACCTCATCAGGGGATCCACAAGAAACAGTAGCTTCCTGGAAATTAATCGGGGGCCCCACTGATACTCCGGTTCCATGATACGATATCAACCTTTTTTCTCCAATTTCTTTCTCAACCTATACAAATAAATAAATAAATAAATAAAATGTCATTGAAAGCCAACCAACAAGAAGAGACCTGAGGTGGAGGAGGCATGATGTCATGGCATAGCATGGCTAAAGGGTATATATGTCCAACTACACCCGCATGCTGCACAAGCCTTCTCATATTGTCCAGTGAATTTGCATCAAATGGTGCCTATACAATATTGAATATATTATACATTATATAATATATTTCATTTTTTGTATTTTTTATTTATGTAATAAATTAAGATGTTACCGGAAACCATTGGTTTGTTACTGGATCTGGTCTGTCCCTTCCGCCACTTGGTGCGATCCATATTATTTTAGATCCACCCCTAAAAATTCAAATAAGAAAATGTTAATGGATTTATATTATATGACATGTGTTGAAAAAAATAGAGATTTGATTGTACCTTAAAAGCAAAGCCATTTCTTTTAGACTTCTTGTATTGGATCTTCTTTTCATATCAACAAGCTCAGGGTCATCGTTCATGTGTTTTTTTGAATATACACACAACAAGTTTTCTTCCCATGCTGAAAGGCTTGCAAAGAGGATCTGTTATAACTCTATCACCTGCCACGTAGATCTGCATCACAGTGTTTTTATTTTTTTTAAGTAAAGGAAATATATATATATATATATATATATTTTTTTTAGTTTGAATTTATGGTGAGGTGAGCTTACTATGTTTTCAGATATATGGGGATTTGTTGTTTCAAGCAATAAGGCGATGACAGCTGGATCTGCTTCTGTTTGGTGGTTTGATATCAAAATCACATTTTCTCCCTGATGGTTTAATAATAATTATTAGGATCTGAAATAATTATATTATATAGAATAATAGAAATAAGTGTGAGAATGACTATGAGAATGAGGAACCTGATTAAGCTGTTGTTCTATTTTAGTGAAAAGGGAGACGTTTCCAACATATGATTCCCTGAATGACAATAGATATTTACACCTTTCTTTATCATATAATAAATAGAGAGCTGAGATTGATAATAGCAAACAAAGATTGACTAACTTGAAATTGATCAAAGGACGAATATAGCTTTGACCAAATGTATAGTAGTCAAAGGGTTCCCGAATAGCTTCATGATATGGTGAAAATTCAAATGGCTCCTACATGTTCACAGATGAGGTTCATAAATCATGGTCAAGATAAATCAATGTTTTAGGTCAAATGGTCAAACCTTCACATCCAAAAACATACGATCAAAAGCTACACGCATGTTTGACACTACAATATCTTTTGCACAAGGATCTCCACTTTTGAGAACCTAAAAAGAAAAGAATGATAAAACTTTTATAAAACTCACAAGGTATAAAATTATTAAATCAGTATCTAAAACTAAAGGATTAGTACAGGGCAAGCCCTAGAAAGAAGTTTACTGCAGTTTTGTAGTTGTGATACAGCTCTTCCATTGATTGAGCAATGGGTTTTGGCAGTGTTTCAGCTTCTAGCTCTCTTTGAATTCCAGAAAGAAGATCTGCATGAAAGATTTATATTGAAATAATAGCATATGAAATTATGAATGCATCAAAGAAGGTATGTTTAGAGTTACATGCAAGCGTAACATTGTATTTAAATCGCACAATTAGGTTTTCATTGAAATGTGATAGTTGACATGAAGATTCCCTACAGCAAGGACACATCTATGAATCTTTACATAAATCAAAGCATCACAATTGGGAATTTGGGATCATCATTTCTTGAAGTTGTCTCACAGAAAGTTAGGATTTTATAAATTAGGGAAATCCTAGGGCTTTGATGGTTGAACACCGGGTGTTCCTGAACCTTCAGTGATTTCCATTATGAATTACCAAAATTGTAGATTTCTTACGTATTTGAACGATTTTGTGTTATAGATGCATTAATTTAAAATGTAGCAGAAGAAATTATTTCTCTCTTTGACATGTGCCTTACATTTCAGAAATCCTAACATGTCATCTTCAAGCCACGAATAACTTGAACACCACAATCAAAGTACATTTGACGATAACATTAAGAGTAATTAAGGATCTAACAATATGAAAAATATCATATACCAATTGTCCTCATTCACAAGACATGAAATTAGGAGCCCTATTCCTTGAGGCAGCATAGCAAAAAGACTGAGTGATGATGATGGTTCGGTGCCTCAAACAGTATCAACAAGCATAATCACTAGATTCAAATCATCATAAGACAAGAACATGCACGATGCACCCAAAAACTCATCAAGATGATTGGTTGATTGCTAAATGTCATTGGTTCAAATACACTCAAACAAACCAGAAGAACATCTGGATTCTGGATAAGCTAAGCAATGTCAATCATTCAAAATTCTATCTCGGATATCAATCAAGCCATCAAGAACACACAGAAATCATTAGTTTGTCTCAAATCGGGATGTGCATAAATCAAACCTACTAGTATTAAAGGATTTGACAATCGCTCAAGAACTCGATTCACCGCACTCTTTTACATATGAAAAGAAATGATCAAACCTACTGAACTGAAGAAACAAATCAGAAATTGCGAACAATGAACAATTGAATATCACACAAATCAATCGCTCGAAATTCTCCCACCATCACTTCGTTTTAGTTGAAATAGAGCAAAACAAAAAGCATAACACATGCGTACCTAGGCTATAACAGTAAATAGACACAGGCATTCAAAGCAAGTGTAAAATTCACTCGACAAACACACTCGGAATCGCATATACCTTGTTCGGAGCGAGCGTCGATGAATGTAGGAGAGCAACCGAGTTCGGATCCAGACACCGGTAGTGGAGTGGAGGATGGCGAAGGCGAACACTTCTTGTCTTGAACCGTTTCCGCCATGCCATGGGCGGCAGAAAACGCCAAGCACGGAAACCGCCGGAGAGCCGAACGAACTCGCCGGGATGAAGAATTAGAAGTAGAAGGTAAGAGAGAAACCCTAGGATTTGTGGTGGATAAGAAGAGAGTAGGGGAAGAAGGAGAGAAGATCGACATAGTGTGTGTGTAGAGAGAGAGAGAGAGATTTTCAGGTAGAGGTGGTGTTAATAAAGTGATGGAGGTGATGGGAGTGGTGGTGGTGGCGGTGGAGCATTGGCGGAGACGGCCTGAGCACACGTGCTTTTCATCGAAAACGAGGCGGAGGAGGAATCGTGCGATTGGATTAGCTGACGCCGCCTGTAATGGATAGTGAAACTAACTGGCCAACCGTTAACCCTATTTCCTTTTATTTTATTTTCTATTTTATATTGAACATTTTACAATAAAGTATATTATCTAAAAGATTGTTCAACATAAAATACCATTTCTTGAAACAATCTCTAACAAATAGCATTCATGAAAGGTTAATGATTAAAAAACTATTATATTTTGTTATTTTTTGGTTTAATCACTGAATTTTAATATATGTTTAAAAAAATTACTAACTTTTTTTATAAAAATTCTATCACGACCATAGTGACCTACATTTGTGTTAGAAAAACCATTAATTTTCATGTTATGCTAAAAAAATCACACATAAGTTGATGGTTATACCCAACTTTTGAAAAAATATAGTGTTTTTTTGTAATTAAAACCGACTCTAATATGCAACAGTGGTTGGGCTGAAAGGTTTTACAAAAAATTAATGGTTTTTTCATTACTTTTTAAAAATTGATTGTTAAACCAAACTTTTGAAAAAATATGGTGTTTTTTTCCGTCATTATCCCTTCATGAAATACTTGAAATGTAATGTGGATTATTTCTCATAGATAAATATTATTTTAATTATTGAATGAAGTTAATATTGTAAAAAAATCATTATTAAAAATACACTTCATTAATATCTCTTTTAGTTATTAAAAATGTAATCGACAACCATACCTTTAAACGATTACTAAATTTTTTTAAAGCTTAAAAGAATTTAAAATATGTTTACCTAATCAGTTGGCCACATTAAAAGTACAGAATTGACATGGTTTATTATTAAAATTCATGACACTTATGCGTCGCATTGCCACATTAAAAGTACATAATTGACATGGTTTATCATTAAAATTCATGACACTTATGCGTCGTATTAAATAGGAAATCAATTTCTGAAATAGTTTCTTATTTTGTCGTGTTATCCGGTTATACATATACTATGTAGGTAAATGAAAATCATTTCAGAAGTAAGATGTTATAGAAAATACATATAATGTCATATAGACAAATGAGAGATCATGTAAATTTAACATACATTAAAACGGATGTATAAAGTCACAATCGACATAGTGGTATTTCTTTTTAAAAAATTGTAGTCACTGACCGAAAAAAATATATAATGGTTAAACCATAAAAAATAAATAAATAAAATAAAGCTAGAATACACTTAAAGTAAACAAATTAAAATATTATATATCAAAAGGATAAAAACAAACTAAGCATTTATTAAAAATAAATGGTTTTTCCTAAATAAAAAATCATCTTCAAAATTGTGTTTTTAAAGAATTATTATAATACTAAGAACTAAGATGTGAAAGAAAATTCAAATGAAAGTATTTTTACGTTCATTCAAAAAAGTAACATATTATAAAGAAAAGAGAAAATGAATTGAGAGAGTAATTATATTTTCATCTTGTTTATGTTTAGGTAACTTTGTTTTTTTACACATTTGACCAATTTAACTTGTTAAATGTGTTCACATATTACCATTTTCATCTCCTATAATGTGAACAATTTTTTTTTTACAAATTTCTTAAAAAAAATTTATAATTTCTCACAATATTTTTATGATATTTTTTTCCTATAGGTTTTTCTAATACAATGTTTTAAACTTTATTTATAATTTTTTTAACTTTCTTTTGATATTTTCATATAATTTTAATACAAGTGCTTTTAAACCAAATATTTTATAAATGTTTTAAATTTTTCTTACAAGTATTTAACTTGTTTTTATTTAACTTGTTTTTTTTTATATTATCATTTTTCATACAACTTTTTTTTATAACTTTCATACATTTATTTCAAACTTTCTTTTACAACATTTTTAAAGTGTTTCACAGAGTTTTGTATGATATTTATAATATTTATTATAAAATTTTATACATTTTTTTATAACATAATAATACTTTCGTAAATACTAGTTTAAAACGTGTATTAAAAAATTAAAAGTTTATAAACTTCTCATTAAAAAGTTGGATAATTTTAACAAACAGTTTACATTATATAGATTTTTTTTGTTTTTTTATTTGCTACGTAATATTTTCTTTTTATTTTTTTAAAAGATCCTTCATACTTATTGTTAAATATTTAATTAATTTAATTTTATTGTTAGATACTATTTGCTTTAAAAATATTGTATATGCTTAAAAACAAAAGAAAAAAATTATAAGAAACTATATAAAATATTTCACAAAACAAAAATATATTTATTAATTAAAAAGTAAAGTTTAAAATTTATCAATATTTAATTAATATTTAGGAAGTTATGGATATTTGAAAAATAACATTTGAAAACAATAATAAAAACAAATATGAAAAATAAAATCACTATTAAAAGTGTGGAAAATAACTTATCAGGGTAATTAATTTTTCGTTTTGTTCACATTTAGGCAACTTTTTTTCGTACACATTTAACCATTTAACTTGTTAATTTGTTCACATATTGCCATTGTCACCTGCTATCGCCGGTGAAAATGACAATATGTGAACACATATAACAAGTTAAATGGTCAAATATGTACAAATATAAAGAAGTTACTTAAATATGAACAAAACGATAAAGATAATTACCCTGGTAAGTCATTTTTCCCTGAAGAAAATATAGTTTTTCTTAATCGTTCATAAAACGATTTAAACTAAATACTTTCCATTAAAATATTATCTAGGAGCAACTTATTTTTTTTCTACTTTAACCAATGTTAAAGGCCGAGTCGGTACAACTAGTTTGATTATCTACTTATGTAATACAACTAAAATGTATAATCAACATTATTGAATGACAATTACATTATATTGCTAACACATAAAAATATATATTATCTTAAAATAAATTTCAACAACAGTAAAGTTTTTATTATATAGAAAACGATTTCCCACTTCACAAGTTAAACGAGAAGGCGTGAAAGTGACTTGGGATTTTCTTGTGAGACCTATTTTTACATTTTTGTTCTCACTCTACTTGTATAATTAATTTATTAAAGTGATTACATTTTATAATCGGGTAAAATATGAAATATTAATGAATATTTTATTTCAACTTTATAAGAATTGTTCGAATTTGTTACGTCATGATGATTTTATTAAAAAATGTATAGATGGTAATTTCTACTTATTGATTTATAAATAAATGGATTTTGAATGTATATCAAGGGTCGAATAAGTAAAAGTGAAATTTTAGTAAAGTTTATTTTGATTATATTATATGTAAAATAACTTATATATCTTCTAAAAACAAAGTATTTGCAGCGAAAAATAATTTTATCAACAATTAAAATCAAATATTTAAATAAAAATGATAGATCAAAGAGATTCAGGCAACAACATTTTATGAATGTATTTGGTTGGTATTAAATAATATTAAATACTGATACTAATAATAATAACAAAAATAATAATAAATGAAATAAAATTGAATTTGGTTGGTCTTAAATACTACGAATAATATGGTTGGTATTAAATGAAATAAAATTGAAATTTAATATCCGATAATTACATGGTTGATTTGCAATGAATCATTGACAGTGAAATGTAGATAATGACAACCACCTAAATTACCAAATATAATTCAATATTCGTTATAAAAAAATATTTAAAATTAATAAATATTAAATACTACTACTAATAGTAATAAAAGAGAAAAATAAAACAAAGCATACAAGCCTTCGGTGTAACAGATGTAGCCTAACAATTGAACAATATGTTTTGGATTGAATTACAATTTTAGAAATGAAATGACTAAACAAACCTCATTGCAAAACCCAATTTCTATTTCTTTGACATTTTAAAAGTTTTAAAGGTTCGACTTAATTATTATATCAAAATTCAGTCATATTCTTTATATATTAAACCTATCCAAGGAAATTCATAATCACCAAATGTAGCACCAAATTGCATAGAACAAAGTCTGCAAAAGCACGCTCAGGAGGTAAATCCTGCAAAATAAAAAAAAAATTAACAGAAGGGCAATTTGGTCATTTACTAAAAAGAAACATAAGTGTAGATTTTTTACTTAACGAGCAAAAGAATGACTTGATATATAAAGTTATGGAAAAGAGGCTTTCCCCATTGGTTTTGGCTTTTTACAAATTTGCCCTCGTTAAATTGACAAAAATAAAATAAATAAATAAATATCATCCTTAGTTTTATGCAGGAATAAATAACGAATATACCTTGAATTCCTTGTTTTCTTTGTTCACTTGAATACGAAGACAAACTGTAAAAAAAAAAAAAAAAAAAAGAAAAAATGAGGTAATTCAGTATCATTTCTAGACAAAAGGGTAAAATCGTCATTTGCTCTCATTAACAATCTATTTTGACTATGTCTATACATCAGTTTTTTTTACTTGATGAAGAAGAACGACTTAATAGAGAAAATCAAGGAAAGTGGTTTTTTTTTATTGAGTCCTAACTTTTTACAAAATTGCCCTCATTTAGAGAAAAATTTATGAAAGGGGTCCACTTACCAGCTAGGACAGCTGTCCCTACACAAGAAAGGACACCAGAGAGAAAAGAGTTGAATGGAAATGACCCAACTACTGCCATGTAAACCACCTGATAAATAACAAAATACATTAATAACCATAAATTCGTGTTAGTTGCATAAATCATTGTGAAAGTTGTTTGTTGGAATGTAAGGGTAAATTGGTCATTTAGTCTCGGACAAACGGATTAGTCTAGAAAAGAAACAAACTTTATTTACACAACACTTTATCTATACAGTCATCATAACCCATTAAGTCTTAACTTTTTATACAGAGGAAATCTGTTCTATTCCACATAGTAACATCCCTTTTCAAACAGCTTCACAGCATATAATTTTGAGAGATAACTGAAAACATTGTTGAGAATCAGAGTTATAAATTTCATTAGTTTGTGTTTTATAATGTCTGACATGCAATAACTTGTGCCTTATTTTCAAGATTACATTTTTAAGGACTGTGATACTGACTTACATTAAGATTTAGCTATGATAAATTCATATATAGATAGAGTCATAGAATAAATTATATATACAGAAGTATAACAGGTATTAAAATTATCAAATGTAAGAAATTGGATTAAGTTTTATACTATATAGATAATAAACACTGAAACATCAACAGAAAACCATCTGCATTTCACA